CGGGCTGGAGGCAGCCTTCGCTTTATGCCCTGACTCTGTTTTAGTTTGAGGAAAGGATATAACAGAAATAAACCTGTATGCCAAGGCCAGCAGTACCAAATGTCAGATAAGAGTTCTCCATGAAGATATATAAGTAAACGCACAGCGAAAGTTCACTTGTAGGGCTTAGAGACAGTTTTATGGCTGCATTTGAGTAAAGGGTGTGGATTTCAATGGAATTTGGTCTTCTAAGGTATGGTATGTTTGCTATAGGAACAGCTGTTGAGAAGTATTATTTACAGTACTGGTTGTGTTTGGTATTTGTACCTGGTCTTCAATTGATACCATAGAATCATAGAATGGTTTGGGTTGGAAGGGACCTCAAAGATCATCTAGTTCCAACCCCCCTGCCATGGGCAGGGAAAGCCTCCGCTACACCAGGCTGCCCAAAGCCTCATCCAGCCTGACCTTGAACACTTCCAGGGATGGGGCATCTGCAACTTCTCTAGTCAACCTGTTCCAGTGCCTCACCACCCTCAGAGTGAAGAATTTCTTCCTTATATCCAATCTAAATCTACCCTATATATATACTGACTGCATATCTAGTACTGAGGTTTGGGGTTTGTTTTCGAAACTTACCTGGGGTATGATGTATACTACATACAAAAATTTCTCTGGTGGAAAGGGAAGGTGAGAACAGGCTTCTACAAGTCGTCACTGATTATTTGGCATGGTACACAAGAAGTATGACCAACTGCCTGCAAGTGCATAGGCCCTGTGATTCTCCCTCTGCAAGCACAGTATCTGTTTTACACCATGCTCTGGAGGAAGGCCAGCCTAGGAAAGAATGTACTCTTCTAGCTACTAATTTTAGTAAACCAGGTACTTCCTAGAATTTTACTCTGGAGTTGCATATATACTTCTAATGTATTAAAATTCTTCTAATGGATGCACATACCTACACGCATACACATGTACAAATGCTAAAAATACAATGCAATAGCAAGAACCTTACTTGAGCTCTGAGAAGATGTCTTGTCATGGCTGGGTTTGCAGATAAGTTCACAAGTACTTTCAAAACTTGAATCTGAAATGGAGGACATCCAAGTTCATTGCAAGGTCCAAAACTGGTAAGTACAGCAGTAATGGGCATCGGTAATGTCAGTGTTGACTTGGGGAGGAAAAGGGAGAATGGGCCAACAAACATCTTGAGTTGTGCGCTTCAGTCTTTGGTATAGGAAAAAACAGAGCTTATGGAGTCATTGGCACATATGTACCAAGTATAGGTATTTTAGAAGCAAATTCAGTTTGCCTTAAACATCAAAATAAGGCAAGATCTTTAAACAACTCGCAGTAGGCAAAATATTTTCAAAATATAGAGAGGATGTTTAAGTACTGTATTTAAAATGTGATCAGAAGCTTATACAGATACTCCTTTGTACTCTCCTGGACCTTGTGACACTATTAACTAAACACTCAGAAAAGGCCAAATGCTACTTGTTGTACTTCAGTAAAGTAGGTCTGCTAAGTTTAGTGGAAATTTGTGTTTTGGAAAACTAGTTTTGATCTGATAGAGCAATTGAGTACACTGATATTGATGGTACTGTGACATCTTGAACAAACGCTGAATTTAGTCCCTATTTGAAGCTTTTATCTTCTTTCAATATTAAGTAATTCTCAAATAAGCCAAATTACCCATTGCAGTCATGAGGGCTGAAAGACATGTAAATGGACAGAAATCCATAACTGAGGTTGTCACTGCTTGGCGTGTTCCCCTAGAGAGATTCATGCATCAGTGAAGCCTTTCACATGCAGATCCTCCTTGCTCTGTGATGCAGCAGCAATGTTTATCCAGCTGAAGAGAGTTCTGGAGTTGCTATAGCAAAGGCACAGGACAATAGCAGTGCACACAGCACTGGTTTGGGAGAGCTCTAGCCCAACGGCTCCACTATCAGGATTCCCTTCCTTCCCCTCTTCTGAATTTACATTGAGAAAGTAGCATAGATCCATATTTTACAGATTTTATGCACTATCATTAATGAATGTTTGATTTTCTAAGCAGTCTAAACCACTTTACAAAAACAGTAAAAAGGAGGTAAGTAAAGCAGCTTCCTAAATGGTTTGTAACAATACACTACCCAATACCTGTGTTCTTTCAGTTCCTTCTGAAAGCAAACGAAGAAAGCATGGAATTGAATTTATCATCTTATGGTGGTAGTCACTGGTAACAGACATGTTTGTCAACAATCTGAGCCCAGCTAGCTGCAGATCAGAGTTCAGGGGAGCTGACTCAATGTTGCTACACACTTGTGTAATATATACCTGGGGGAAAAGGGAAGGAGATAGAAGATGTTTTTTGATACAAGCAGATTTTCTATTCACAAATCACATGAGCAGCCTAGCCACAGTAGCGTAAAATACCTCTTGAATACTGCTGGCTGAATACATAACCTGATCAAGGTTGCTGGAAACAAGTACTTTTTTCTTTTGTTGTGAATATATTCAAACGTCTATGGGCATGATAGAAGGATAGAAGCAGACATTACAGAGTTACGCTCACTAACGTTCCTGAAGCACAAATTGCTCTAAAAACCCAAATGACTTTGACTCCATCTCAGCAGTGGATTGACTCCATCTCTCAGTGGCAGATTTGCTTTAAGGAGTTATTTAAAAAAATCATTTCAGCAACCGACATCTTCTAAAATGTTGAGAACAAACTAAGGACAAGTCTTGGAATGAAATCCTTTCTTACAACCATGTGGCCCATTCACTGGAGTACTCCTCAGGAACAGTGATGACAACTGACACTGACAAGTGCTTTTTACCAGCTTTTCTTCTGGATGACAGTACCCAACGGATCTTGGGGTCCTAACTAAGAAAAAAAAAAAGACTTTGCCTTTACCAAAGGAGTTGTTTTCTACCTAATGCCTATATAAATATTTGCTGCTAGCAAGCACTACTTTAAAAAAGTTGCTAAGCACTAAAGATGCTGCAAACTACCATGTACAGTCAAACTGTCTTTTTATGAAGCTAATGAAAAAACTAGTAAAAATCTGCACATCTGCATCAGCTCTCTGCTTGGACACTTTTTTATCCATTAATCTGATAATATCAAAGGATGCCTTTTTGATGGTGGGTCCTTTCACATCCATACTATCTACATTTACCAGCAGGACTTGTTATTACATATTGTTCTTTTAAGATGAAAGAAAAAAATTGGTCTTATACAACAAACCGAGGGGATCGATTACTGCTTTCTTCTCTCTTTCCTAAGGAGTCATGCTAAATTGAGTCTTCAATCTATAGAATCATAGAAGAGTTTGGGTTGGAACCATGACTTCTCGAATATGATGGATAGTGGCTTAGCAACTTATGTGCCACTTCCCTCAGAACCCGTGGATGCACCTCATCAGGTCCCATGGACTTGTCCACCTTCAGGTTCTTTAGATGGTCTCAGATCTGATCTTCTCCTACAGCGGGCAGTTGTTTATTCTCCCAGTCCCTGCCTTTGCCTTCTGTGACTTAGGCTGTGCTGCTGGAGCTCCTGCCAGTGAAGACTGAGGCAAAAAACTCATTGAGTACCTCAGCCTTCTCCATATCCGGGGTAACCAAGTCTCCCATTTCCTTCTGGAGAGGGCCTACATTTTCCCTAGTCCTCCTTTGATCACTGATGTATCTATAGAAGCTTTTCTTGTTGTCCTTGACGTCCCTGGCCAGATTTAACTCTATCAGGGCTTTAGCTTTCCTAACCTCATCTCCGGTTGCTCGGACAATTTCTCTGTATTGCTCCCAGGCTACCTGTCCCTGCTTCCACCCTCTGTAGGTCTCCTTTTGAGTTTGTCCAGGAGCTCCTTGTTCATCCATGCAATTCATCCTGTTAAACAACCACTGCTGATGTTCTAGACACGTTTGGGAATCATCTTGTCTCATGTAATTTTACTATAAATTTAGCAGCACAATCTCTGCTTAATAGCAGTTGGTGAAAGCTGAACACAAGCTGCCTGGTTTCGTAACTGTCTTTGAAAAAAGGAAGTGTCAGTGATGCAATGCATTTGTAAGTTATCCTTTTGGCCTCGGGATGCACAGATCATCCAGATCTGCTGACTCGTATGTCTAACATCAAAACATTTTGGCATCTTGGCTTGTATTTGACAAATACGCTGAAAGCCCTGTACTATCTCCTGTGTCTCAATTACTTAGATGTTTCCCTTTAAGGAACGTACCTGTATCTCCTCCTGATTTTTAATATTCATACTTAAATTATTAAGTGCATTTAGTGCTTTTTCTTTAACTTTGGGAACACAGTCTGAGAGCATTCCTCCAATAATACAAAGGCCATCCAAATTTCGGATTATATCCTGAAATATAAAACAGATAGTTAATAAGATTATTAAAAAAATTAAATGCTGAAGGCTTTCCTTGAAGTTTCCATTTTAATGCAAATGGAGTATGTGAACGAAGACTTCCAGAATAGACTCCGCTGTTTAAAGACAGAATGTTAGCAGATATTGCTTTATTGCTTCCACTGAAATGAAGAATAGTCCTCCTTAGGGCCAAAGTATTATATGACATTATTTGACAATGGCATAACACCTTTACTTTCAAAATTTGGCCTGCAAAGCATGCTTAAAGCATTTTAGATTATAAAGAATCAAAGGTAATTATTGCATAATGAGTTTATAGAATAGCTGAGCCCGGTCACAGTACCTAAAACTCCTGACTGAACAGAACAGAATTTCAAGATGCAGCTCTGTATTATTATGAATAGAAGTTCTAAAACTATATCTTTCTTTTCCTTTACACTTGATTTTTTTTAATCTTTCTCACTTAGACTCTAACCATCACTGAAAAAAGCATATACTGTTTTGAAGAAAATGAAAAATAGGCCAATGGGCCTTGGGACATTCTGTTCTGAGAGATTTATATTAAGAAAACAGTTTTGAGAAGCCAGAATAGACAGCTGTCATAAGTACCATACAAAAAGGAAAAAAAAAAAAACAACGAAAGAAAAGTGTGGAACCCTGGAGGTTAAACCTGTACAAAGGCATGAAAATCTACATCCAGCTCAAAAGTTTTCTGCATCATATTTCCAATTGATTCCAAGAGACCTGGATAGTTGGAAAGTTGCTGAGATGTAAATGGAATACAACTTTGTAAAGATAAAAAATTAGTTTAAAGTATCTCAGTACATTCCAGATCTGATCCTGAAAGTGTTTAACCCTTCTCCAATTCAGCCCTTTCATTAACATTACATAACTGTAAGCAACAGAGACAAAGATATTTACAGCACTTGGAAAGCATAGAACTCTGTATAGCCTTTACGTTGTACGAACATTAAGCTTAAACAAATTTTGTGAAGCTGGTAAATTATATTATTTGGGCTAGCAGAAATTAAGGCATAGAGATAAAATGGATTTTAGAACACAAGCTATTGTAGCTCTCAGTCCTGTGTCACTCTCCAGCAAAACAGCCCCTCTCCATACTGACTAGTATTGAAACACTGTTGTTTTCTACAGAACAATACTTACTTGATTTACAGAGAAGGCAGCACTGTTGCTGAGAGTGATTAAAGCTTGCTCTTGAATTAATGGATCATCTGTGGCCTGGAGCAAATGAATAAGTTTCTGTAGAGCATCCGCATCCATGGTATGGGTTGACACTGGGGGACTATTGTCTGTCAGTGTTTAAAAATGAAATACTTGATACCAAGTTTGAGACATTTCACTTTGTTACCACTTAACGTTTTTTTACAAAGCTGAGGTTTAGCGCTCAGCTGTGGGACGCGTGGTTCTAAGTTTGATTGTACCCAACCATCATACCGTGGCAAAAAGACTGTCTTTTAGAACAGACGGACTTCCGTCCCTTTTCTCGAGTCCTCTCACTACCTCTTTTCAAAGTAGGACATAAAAGGAATACATAATAAGCACGTGGAGTACGTGACTATTTAGTTACCAACAGCAAACCTCCCCTTCAAAATTATTAGGAATATTCATGAAACATGATAATTTTTTTTTCCCTTGTGTTGCCTGAAATGAAATGTGGAAATCTGTCTGGACATTGTAAGAAAAGAAAATAGAACTTCTGACTTGCAGACCAGTGTTTCCAGAAATTATGATAATGACGTTTTGCTAGTACCCTCAGGTCTTTTGACAAAGTAATCGCCACAATGTTAAGAATGGTGTCACCTGGCCAACTGAGGAAGGCTGTTTCTGAGTCAGAATGATGTTACGGAGTACCTGGCTTTCTTAAAGGGTGACGCAAATGCCATCAAAGACCATTTTCAGCCAGGTTGGAGACCGAACTATTTAGCTAGCTGAATAGCCTGAAGACCTCATCTATGACTACTGGACTAGTCATAGATGCCTCAAGATGACTTTTGAGAAGCTAACCAGTCCTTTATAATTTCAAATATTTGCTGCCACCATCTCACCAGGTGAACACCACAGTATTCTTTGGGGGAGAAAAAAAAAAAGAGGTCAAGGTTAATTACTTTACCATAATCCAAGAGCTAGCTTGAAAAACAAAACTGATTTTTATCTTCATCTCATCATCATCTAAGCAGTGTTTAGCTTTGAATTACAGGAGAACATAAATAATAAGAGCAATAATGGGCAAGTCAGCCCATTAAGTAAATACACTGACTGGACATACGCTTTAGGGGGACTTTAAAAATACAAATCAGGCTTTTTAAAAAACAAAACATGCTCTAAAGACCTTCAAAAACGCCGCACGACCATTAGCAGGCCGACAGGCAGCACGGTTGGTACCGTACCCCCTCACTGGCAGCGGATG